AAAAGAAATGAAAAAAAAATAATGAAAAATTCTTCCACGTTGTAAAAAAATGTAAACCATTGTTCGATTTTTTTAGAGAAGAGCTCTATAGGAAACCACCAAACCGTAAACCCTCACCGAGAGATCAAAGAATGCTATAAAATGGATGCGTGGGCTATTTTTCCACCAAACAGTTTCCTACGCAGCTCCAAATTGGAGAAAGCAAGCAGAGCAAAAATAAACCTTTTATATCCAGCAAGTCTTTTGATAATCTGAGGAGTTTTCACTCTCGAATTACAAGTGCACACCAAATCTATTCAAGAGCCCTGATGACGTGCGAATGGGGTGGAAAATATCGTTACAAAGTAAAGAACATGGCAAAAGTGAAAGCCAGGAAAAAAATTTGATGTGGAAAATCCGCTCCGTATTCATTATCGCCGCGACCAGAACGGCACAAATCTAGACCAAGTGCACACAAGGCGTGATCAATATTCTGGTTTGCCGTTTTACTTTTTGCCAGTTTGCACTTCGTTGACAAAACAGTGGCTATCTTTCTACCAGAGGAGCAGACTGTTCTAAATGAATGACAAATATTTGCATTTCAAGCGTTGGCTTTAGAGATAATTAACAAGGGTTTGAGTGTTAAACGGCTCAGGACGCCCCTTGTGTACGATTTATATGTGGACTTTCCCAAAGTGTTAAACTAAACGGATACATTTTTTGGTTTTTTTTTCATTTATAATTTTCTTCAACCATCAAAAGTTAAAAACTGAAATTAAATCTGATTCAGACTTTTACATCTATTCTTTTTTTTGGCATTTGAAGAAATTGAATCTTGAAATTCTACAAACTTGTCATTGTTTTGAAAGATTTAGTTGATATACATATTGAAAAATAAAGTTTACAACCCTTTTTTTATATCCGCTCATAAATTTGAGTGCCAGCCTTTTTCCCCTTAAACATCGTGAGTTATTTCAAATAAATAAATATACCATATTGGAAATAATATTTGCGTTTTGGCATGCAATTGAAAGTCGTGGCACCGGGGGTAGTTTGTGTTTGCGTTTACTTTGCTTTCGTGATGTGTGAGCGCAAATGCGGTTATCCATGTGGCGTGAAGACGGCGAAGAGAGCAGTTTGGGGAGTCGGAAGCAAAACAACAGAATATGTGTGCAAGTCAGTAACTTCGCACATGCAACCAACCAGAAGCGAAACGTTTGAAAGCAATAACAATGCAAACTTGCCTTCGAGGATATTCGTTGTTTACACGTCAGATTATTGCATTCGATCGCGCACGAAATCGAGTCGAACCGAAATAAAGTTTAGCATGTGAGAGGTTTTGTCATCCACAGAATACCATTTTATTGGGTAATATCCCCAGTTAAAGTCGAGCTTTTATTTTTATGAATCTTATTTTAATTGCAGCAGTATTTTATCTCACATAAATATTTAAAAAGAAAGTATGAATTAAAAAAGGGTATTTTTAATTAAATTTTATCTGTTTTAGGCATGCTATTTTTTATATGCAGACTGATTTCGACTTGTTTTTACTAAATTTTAAAGTTTTTAAATTTTAATTATCAAATTAATTTTCAAATAATTTTCATTTTTGTTGTAGAATTTCACGATCGAGGGTTGATTCATGGTGAATTGAATTAAAAATCGGCTTTTCCTCGACGGATTTTTGTGAGCCTGCAGCAGAAACATGTAGAGCAGGATATTGTTTTTCTGAAACAATAAACAACTCACAAAAACCCATCGAGGAAAAGCCGATTTTAAATTCAAATCACCATGAATTTGAAATGTGTTGATTTAGGACGCTAGGAATATTAAATTTTTAATTGACAAGTAAAAATTTAAAAAGGGGAAATTATTAGATGTATTGAATTCTCAAAATACAAATTGGCAAAATATTCCTAATATTAAAGAAATGTTTAATTTATTTCGTTTTTCTACATATTTGCATATTTCTTTGTATTTATATTATAATTGGTATAACGTAATGCAGAAGAAACCACATCGTTTTCTTTGATGGGTGGAATCGCATTATTTCACTTTTTGATTCTCTGCTCTGGATGCAACGAGCTCGCTCAAGTGGAATTCACGCACGCCCTTGATCTTCAAATAGGCAATTATTTGGCGCGGCGGAAACTGCTGCGTGGCTCTGAAGCTGGGCGATGCTGTTGAAGCACGCGAGCGAACAATAAGGACGAAAAAAATGGCCCACGGAGACCAAACAAGAGGCAATTTGTCTTACTTTAAGTCTCGGTACAGACGCTCGTGTCAGCACCAAAAGTGGACGCGAGTTTTTGCTTTATACTTGCTGCGAAATGTACAACAGGAAAATGACAAACTGCCAAACTGGCATTATTTCTGTCCAGTTCCCAGAAAAAAATAAGTAACTGCAAATAGCATAGAATATAGATCGTATAAGCTGCTTTTCTGTGACTTTGATTTTGTTTCTAAATGAGCAGTTTGAGCAGTTTTAAGTTTAACAGAGATCTGAGATTTTATATTTGAGATTATGCTTCATTTTGCTCAATCTATTGAAATATTTCAAAAATTATTCCTAGACCCATGAAAAATTATTAAATCCAAATATTACTAGAATTAATTCTGATCATAGAATTATTAATTCCAAAATATTTAATAGAGGATTTAAAAAATTTATTAAAATTATTCCATGGCAAAATCAAAAGGTATAATTATCCAGAAATTTCCTAGCCAAAATTATTTTGTCACGTAAAAACGGAATTAACAGTCTTTTTACTTAGCAATAAGCTATGAAATTTGTGTAATTTAAAACTGTTTCTGGTTGTCAAAGGTAGTTAAACAAATCAAGATTGACTTTTTTCTTTTACCAATTTGACAAAAAAGTTTCAAGATGGATACCAAAAAAATTTAATCCCAACTCGTATGTATGAAAGTTTTCCTGTTAAAGTTCAGTTCCATCTGCCAGCTTCGCTAAACTTTGCTCTTCCTACCACTGGTAATGCTCTGAACTCTATTCATTTTTTTTTTTTTTTTATTTATAAATTTGGATTCATTCATGTATCAAATCTTACCAAGTGCAAATTTTTGATTGGAATTCACACGCCATGGATCTCATTGTTAAGGAATTTTGACTACTTGTCAATTCAAGAATATAAAATATTATTTTAAAAACAAACTAGTCAAACAACAGCTAGAAATTTGCACAAATTGAAGGTGGAGTTGGGCAGGGAAATATGGACAGTGCTATAAAATAGGAGTGCTTTTTGTACTCCTCCTATTATCATTTTCGCATTCATTATGTTGCCGAAATGACCATTAACGCATTTCCAAAATCTGCTGCCATGATTTACGCTCGGCTGCAACTTTTGTCCATAAACGCGTCCGGCAACCCCATTCGGCTGTCGACCAACATGGTTTCTCTCTCTTGCGACGCTCCTTTACATTTTGCCTTCCATTAGTCTCAGTGGAGAGCTAATTTAATTACACTTCTGTGACCAGCCGAGGGGCAGTTTGCGGCAGAAGCAACGTTTTTCGGGTTCATCCAAATTTTTGGCGCGCTGACGGATTTGCCGGAATAAAATAATGCACGGGAATGAGTTTGGATGCGCAGTTTTTAATTAAATTTGCCACGACGTCCTGACCAATTAACGCATTCGGTGTAAATGTGCGCGCGAGAAAAAGGGTGACGAAATGCTTTAGTGAAATTAGATTTGCTGAGTGCTCTGCATGCAAAGTGCAAAGACACGTGTGCTCTTTTAAGCCTGTTATTTCTTTCGTAGAGCTTTTAAAATGTTTCTTCCAGTAAAGGATTTTATTTGAAGCGATGTACGATGAATTTAATTAATTAAACTGTCATAAACTTTTTGGTAGCCAAATTAGTTCTTTATTGTTGTTAATCAAATAAAAAAGAATTGGTGACAATTATTCCAATTTTGGCAGCGGCTCTTTATTCTTTGGCGTTTTAGCAATAGTTTTTTTACTATCATTTGTTGCATGTGACGGAGCGATAAATTAAATTAATTTTCAAATAAATTATTTTATTTTTCAATTTTAAATTGATTAAAAGTTGTTTTATAAACGTTTTGTCGGTTTATGGCCACCCAAATTACAAAATTCTACATCAAAACGATATTGCTCTCCATGTTAATTAATCAAAAGCAAAATAAACAAATCAGAATTTAATTCATCCATTATTATTGACATCCAATCAATTTGTACAAATAAACATCAATAATTTCACATTAATACCACTTATAATCGCAATACTTTGATATTTCTCATAATTATATTAGTGCCATAAAAATATCCGAAAATCATAATTGTTGCTATCTTACAATTTGTGAAAATAAAATTATCATAAGTTTATGTCACGATTCTACGTGGCCGTGAACTGATCTATGCACGGAATAATTATCTAGCACGTCAGCAGACGACCTTCAATAAGGCACTGTAATTATAAGTTACGGAGGTAGTACTTCACCTTGGAAGAATCACGGTTCAAGAGTTAACAAGCAAACTGGTGCAGAAGAAATCAGTGGGCAGGAAAATGAAAGCAAAGCTGTAGTTTCCGCCTTGATTTTCTTTGATTAGTTCTAGCTCAGCGCCTTTTTTTAAGCTTGCAAACTTTTAAGGGTAGTTTATTTATTTATTTTCTTAATTTTCATGATTACAAGATTATAATATGGATAGTCAAAATGTATCAGTATAAATTACATACGCTCCTGAATTTTCTTTATAACTTATTTTACTAATCGATTTTTAATAAAATTGTTTTAAATTTTTTGCAGAGAAAAGCTTTATAAATATGATCAAACCTTCCTTTTATGAAGAATCCTAGTAAAAATCAAAACTTATAATTAAACTTCATATAAGCCAGGTAAAGTTGGGCGTCATGAATCTTTAAGGTTTTTTGCAGACAAACTTGTCTGAAAGGTGTCGCAAGTGAGAGAAGATGTATAGCAGACACGTCCGCCCGGCAGACATTTTTCGGGTGGCAAGAAAATTGCACACAGAAGTCGTAAACTTACCTATCTATCGAGATGCCAGTGAGGGTGAAGACGCTGGCAGCCACCGTGACGTTGGCCACAAAGTTGTTTACCGTGCAATAGGATCTGCCGAACTGCCAGTCACTGCGGACGGGAAAGAAGAATTTTCTCATTAATTAATAAGCCTTGCAAGAAACACTTCTTGGGAGAAAGAAAAAGTGTCGCCCACGGAAAAAGAGACTGAAATTCAAGCAAAAGTTTTATTTTGGTCCGGACTTTTTACGTTTGCGTCCGTCGCGGAAAAGACAAGCTGCCACTTCCAGTTTGGGCGAAGTGGAGCGAAGACGCGTTCGAGTTTAGGAAGAGGCAAAAGTTGGAATAAAAAGTTTTTCCCTATCTGGATAATGTATATTCGCGACGTCAAGCGAGAGTACTGTGTTGTTTCTGCGAGATGGCCCCCTTCTTAAAAATGCAACACGCGAGAATGTGTGCGGAGAGGAAAAGAGCGGAGGCGAGTTAATGAGACAAGCCTCTCGCCCTGCAACATTCGTAAAGACAAACTGCGTCTCCTTAAATGGAATTTTTGATGAAAAACTTTCGGCGAGCAGATGAACAAGTTTTTGCTGGGCTTAAAGTGCGATTCAATTTACATTTCCTTTTTTTTTATCTCGGACTGATGAAGTCTTTTTGGTTCTTTCACTTGAAAATTCATTCTGGAATCCACCTTTGGAAATTGCGTTTTTCTGACTGAAAATTTGTAAAACAATAAACGGTTTTTTATTATTTTTCACACTGCATGATGACATTATATTTTTGAACTATACTTCGAGATTTTATATCTGGATCGATTTTACACTTTCCAATAATTTTTTTTCCACTGAGAAACTAAATTTTTGCGTTCTTAGTGATTGAAAATAGTTATATAAAAAAATAATAATTTTATGTTTCCATCGAGCCGATGAAATTCTAGAAGGCAGATAAGAATTTCCAATTTGTTCTTGTTGGTTAACAAAAGAGTAAAGCACCTCAGGACAAACCAAACCATCCACAAATAATGCTCCCCGAATTTGATATTTCCAAGAAATTTTTCATCTCTATTGTATTCCTTGAAGATGAATATCAGCTTCCCAGGAAAAAAACGTTTGCAAAGAGAAATAAAAGCCACCCAGAAACAAAACAAATACTCAAATTACACAACTGATGCATATTATTTGCGCTTTTTGATTTATATCTCTGCTATTTTTCATAGTTGAAAGTTGAAACAATTTTTCAAAAGGGGTTACTGAGAATTTTCATTGAATTTCCATTGCCGGTTGAGCATCTCACATTTTTATTTTGCATTGTTATTTTATTGACATGTGGCTGTGGGGCTTGGAGAATTATTCTGATTGCGGAATTGCAGTGACATTGTGGCGAACAAACAAGTTGTAAATTGAATTTTGCTTTATTACGCCAGGCTACATTGCATTCAATTCATATATGCAAAATAGCAATATGAGCACCTGCGGCAAATGTCACACGTAATCAAAAATGAACACGATCTACTTTCAGGACGACTTCACAACAGTGTAATTTGATATGCTTCGAATAATGTAAAATAATACATGAATATCACTAATGAAGGTGATGCAGAATAATTGCTACAATTGTGTTTGTTGCGAGTTTTAACGGAATCTACATTTGATTTTTTTTTCATATAACTCATAAAATAGAAAAAAAAAAAAAAACATTTCAAAGCTTTTATGACAAGTCGCGCTTTTGATTTTTTTTATTGTTTCGAACACGATGAAGACGATCTAATTTGGAACGGTAACTAACCTGTTGAGCATGTAGACAAAGTTGAAAATGCAGTTGAAGACGGCCATGAGCAGGTCGGCCACGCTCAAGTTGACGAGGAAGTAATTTGTCACGGTCCGCATGCGACGGTGCGCTGCAAACACACAGAAATTAGGCTCAGGGCTCATTTGCAGGTACAGCGAGTGAAACTGGAGTTTGTTTGTTCAGCTGTCGCGCGCTGCAAAAGAGGCAAAAAGGGCTCTCGAACACGCGAAGAGGGAGTGAAATGCTTTTTGCGCGGAACACTTCATTTGCATCTCTTGGGGAGCAAAAACAGCAACACTTCAATTAGGTTTCCGTCAAGCGCCCTAGAAATATATTTCTCTCCGTAGAGAATAAAACACTGGGGGAGTTTCTCGCAGTGCGACTAATTATGAACTAGTTCCCAGGTGTTGAGGCTTAAATGCTATTATATTGTGAGAGAAATGCTTTTTACACTTCAAATATTAAAAATTAGTTTATTAACTTCACTGAGAATAATTTAAAAAAGCAAAATGGATGAAAAATAGTATTTCTATGAAAATTACCAGAATATAATTTTTTATGAAAATATTTTTTAATGAAAAAATAGGTAATTTAGGTGAAATTTTCAAAGCAAAAATATCAACATTAGTCTTCATTAGTTATGAAATAATTTTTAATTAAAGAATAAAAATACTAAAAATCATCTCTTTTTTTTATACTCCTGAATTAATTTTAACTTTAAAATTTTTTGACTAAGCTTAACATAACGTAAATTTAACAAAGTTTTGATGGTTGAAATTTGAAAAGCCACCATCTGGCGTTAGCAAGCGAAATGCTAATCAGGTTTCGTCGAAAAGCATTCAACCCCCTCCCTCCTTCATCAAAAAAACGCTCTCTAATAAATCGCGCGCGCTTAAACTTTACGCATTTTGCACTCTTTCCTCTTACCGAGAACAATCCACATGACGATGGAGTTGCCGCCGACGGCCACAAAAACCATGACGGCAAAAACGGTGCTCCAGGCCAGCTGTTGCCACCAAGCCATGTAGTACTGCGTCGAGGAGCGTTTCCGAGTCGGGGCGGCCGTCGTCGCCCCAGGGGCCGACCCACCCCCCAGGCAGCTCCACTCGTCTGAAGCATCGAAGGTCACGTTCGGGTCGGTCTTGTTGACCGGTGACAGGGTCGAGCTCAGACAAAGAAGGGTGCGATTCACCTCGCCCACAATCTGACCCAGAGGTGGTGGACGAACCTGTAAACAAACAACCAACTACTAAAATTTTGTTGCATTTTATCTTTTGAATCCAATGCAAGTAATTTTAATTGTGTAATAATTTAATTTTTTTCCTTCTTAAATAAATGACCATACAAAAATCTCCTTTCTAACTTTGAAATGTTTTGAAGTAATTTCTTGAATTAAATTTTTTTTTCTTCTCTACTTTCAAGTTCAGTATTTTCCTTATGTAAATAAATGTAAATTTTCCACTAATTGCCTGGTGACATAAATATATCAATTAAGATTCTTTACCACTTAGTAATTAAAGTTTGATTCACTGATCTTATCCTTACATATAATAATTACGTAATTAATATGATATCATTTGCAACTAATTATCGAAACTAAAATCCTAGGAGAATATTTGTGCAAGTTTGCTCATTTCAAGCTTTTACATAATTATCTTCGTTAAGCAGATTTTAATTGGCAATAACATGCCATGTTTTATAAATCTATTTGGTTACGCAAATGCTACGTAACCCAACAACCGAAGGGTTTAAAGCTGGGTGCTCAAATTAATACGCATTAAATATAAACATCATCAAAGTGAAATCTTCTGTAAATACGTAATTAAATCGTGCGAGCTGTTAACGCTCCATTTTATACTCCATTGCGCGGCGATATACCCCTCATTAACCAGCATCTAGTAAGCTGGAATTACTTAATTGCAAATATAAGACATTGAGGGTGCGTGGAAAATTACCTATTCGCTGAGTCGAAAACAGCCAGTTGCTTTGAAACTCGCCGGGCGTCAAGGAAACGGGGAAATTTTTTTGCTCCTTAAATTGACTTAATCTGATTTGCTTCCCTCTCGCTTTTATCCTCTCTCACAAAATTGCTTCTAAAGGAAACGCGCACATTTTACTGCGAGAAAAGGTCACATTTTTATCAGCAAAAATGAAAGGAAGAATTCTTGTTCCAAGTCAACAGCAAAAATTCTCCGCAAGTGACCGCAAACTTGGCCTTTGTGAAAAAAATCCTTGTGAATTACATTAGCTTTAGAATGCAATAAAAATTTTATTAAAGCTTCAAAGAAAGCAACAATAATTCTAAGAATGTGTAAAATAATTAAATTGAAATTTTTATTGCTCTTAATAAAATATTCTAATCCATAATAAGCTCCGATGTTCCCTAACGGAGGTTGAATATTAATTCAGTCAAAGCTTAACCCTTTGTGTGCTGATCCACAAACTCATTGAATTATGCCACACGCAGGGCTTATGTTAACTGCCTTTATGATCATGACACGCCCTTCAACTGCAGATTGCCAAACTGATGCTTCCTGCAACTCGTATTATGTTGTAGGAAGCAGATAGGAAGTTTGTCTCGTCGCGATGACACAGGCAGACTGAGCAAGAATGGTTAATTTGTACGTTGAACTTGCCAGTGACACAATTAAGCAGACGCGGAAATTAATTATAGGCAGTTCCTCCCTCGCTCCTTATAGTCGCCGTTGTTGCGTACAAACACCACTGGAAATCACCTCCAACATAAAAATAAATGTTAAATTTATAGCCATTTATTTTAAAGTAGTGGCAATGAAATATTTTCGATTTGTTTTTGCGCTGACGTTTTTATGTTAAAATGAAATTTTTTAGTGCGTAGATTCAAAAAATGTTTTACAATTAGAGGATGAGATACAATTTTTTTTTTTTTTGCTAAAATAACTAAGCTTTCAATATAATTCAAAACAATATTAATAACTACAATAAACCAATAAAAATTGGTTTTCAGTTGAGACGCTGCATATCAAACACAAGTTCTAATTGCAGTCTCAGGCAGTTTGTGGATAAACTTGAATTAGAATCTGCTTTCAGAAAATTGGTCAAAGTAAGTAAAAAAAAAATATAATGTTCACTTCATGAGCAATGGATCAATCACCAGATGTACGGAAATGAGATATTCTCCTCTATATTAAACAGCTGCTGATGGAACTGCGGTGAGCCTTATGTGCAGAAGCGGGATTGCAAAAAGGGTTGAGAAACTTATTGAATTCCAGCAGCAATCCATCAATCAGCAGCGCTACCTCATTTTTCCTCGACTGCTTCGCCTCCCGTGAACGACATAACGACTTTCCTATCCAGACGCGACGCAGGAGTTGGCGCTCGGCGAGAGTGTAATCAGCATAAATATTCAAGCCTTCGAGCAGAACTAAAACTCGTAGCAGAGGAGCAAGAGGCGAGATTCGTTACGTTCCCCTTGGAAAAGGTGGCAAACGTTTGCATTATGTGTTTTCCTTGTGTGAGAGATTTCCTGGCAGCAACGAGACCGTTAATAATTTATACAAACACTCATAGTCTCATAGCCTGCTTGGGCCCGCATACCACACGCAATTTCTATTTCTTGGTTAAGGGCCAAAGGAGGAGCTGTTTGAGAAAGGTAAAGAAGCTCCTTTGATCTTTTCTGCAGATTGAAGATATATTTAATCGAAATTGATATATTTGCAGGGAAAGATGTGAACGATTGCAAAGCTTTTAGGATAAATTATTCATGAGACAAGAGAAAGTGAATGAAAATCGAGCACATTTCTCATGATATAGTGTTGATTTCAATCTCTGATGTGCTATTTAATCCGTCATCCAATTCTAAACTTAAAAGAAATATTTAAAATTGTTGTGGACATTAAAGTTTACTTGAACTGGAATTTTACGTATTTTTTAATTAATAGAAAAGTAGAAAAGGGATTTTAAGGATTTTATTTTTATTAAATATGTGCAAAATATTAAAAATTTAGAAATTATAAAAACATTATAATATGGGAAACAATCACTCATAATGAAAATTTTTTTCAAAAATTTTAGTTCCAAATTTCGAATTAATTGATGAATTTATTGGTTAATTATTTGAGCTGAAATGATCAACTGGGCTTTTTTTATAAATATGTATAAAAAAAATTTGTTTCAAAGAGAAAAAGCTGCGTAGTTTGTATCAAAATCAATTTCAATAAACAAGTTTTATGAGAAATTTGGTGGAGGCCAAATTTCAACATCCTCGCATAATTAATAATATCCGCTAACCCTTCTTAAACAAATTTGTCTAAAGTTGCTCTTTGACCCTTGGGAAATATATTCGCGTGAGAAATTACATTTTGAAGTTTGCAAAACCATAGAGGCGCAAGAACTTTTCTTCTCTTTACTCTCTCAGCGGTTTTGGTTAAGCAACCAACAATTTCCAGCTTTGGCAGACAATAATAATAATCTCAAATATATGCAAAGCAATTCCGTTCAGGAAATAAACAGCGGTTCACAGAAATAAATCAAGAACATTTAAACAGGTATTTTAAAGTGTGGAACATTTTTATAATCTTGGTGGAATAATAAGTGCATTTTTTAGTTTTGCAGGAAAAAAGGATGTATGGACAAAAATAAGTCTTTATAAAGTTAAAAAATAAAATATTTGAGAGAGAAAAAAAGTAAATAAAATTTGCCGTTTATTATTTTTAATATTTATAAATAATTAATTAAAAAAAAATCTTCATATTGGTTATTACATAAGTAAAGTAGGTCAATTGGATTGTTCAAAATCACCGTTGAAATATTCAAAAAAATTTAGTAATTTCTTGAAAATTAATTAACAAACCTTTACAACTCTGTCTACTCTAATAATGATATTCCATTGGATAATGTTTCCGTTCAAAACTTCAAGTCAGAATAATATTGTATGTTGCAATTTAATGTTGTGAAATACGAAATAGGGGGACAATTTCCATAGCTTTCGGCAGTCAAATAACGAAGTAATGTTTTAGGTTGGATTCTGGTCACGTGCCCGTTTTGCAAACTCCGCTTCGCTCCTAAATTGAATCTCATAAAATGCCTGTGGCACATTAGTGGCGGCAAACCCTGCTGGGACGCAGAAAGCGATTCTTTACGACAGGCTTTTATACACAAAATAATGTTTTCCCTCTGAGGGGAGGCGTTTTCCCAATTGGACGGTACATTTTACGCGTGGCAAATAATCCCAAAATATAAGACGCTGCTAACGAGGTTCTCGATTTTCATTTCCGCGCCTCAAAGGCTGGAAGAAAAGGATTTTGAGGTGTCAAAGAGGCGTACTGGGAAAAGTATCACCAGTGAAGTCTCCGCAGAGGGATTTGGTATCGATTCCGCAAACACGACACGCCTTTTATATTAATGCGACTTAAATAATTGATTTGTGCGTTAAAATTTATAATCCCCCGTCAGCCCCCAACGGCCGAACAAATCAAGTTTTACGCCCTCGCTGTGTGTTGGGCCGGTGAATTTTTCATGAAATCTCGCTGAAACGGACGCACTCCGACAACCCGAAACGTGTTTCGAGTCGAGGTTTCCCTTCAGCGCTCTGGGTGTTTGAGCAGCTCTCGACACGGCGTGTTTCGAGACTGCAACTTCCCTCCATTGAAACACTCAAATTAAAAAAAAAACCCTAATAAAAAGAGCAGCTGATGTTGCCTTTGAAATTTAAAAAGTTAAGAAAAAAATAATAATAAAATTTAAAATATCAAGATCATGAAAACCGCAAGCTCAATTTGAATATTATGCAACCTGCGTGACATAGTTGCACAGCAGATTGCTTAAATAGTTTGTGTATAATTTCTAAATTCTCGTTATCAAGTAATATTATTTTGGCTTGAAATTATAGAAAATTGAAAAAAAGTGAAAATACAATTAATTGGAATTATTTATATTTGCTGTGTAGCTCTATTTTTGATAGATCTAATTTTTGTTGAGTCAAATAATGCAATAACAATTATTAATTAACACGAATTAATTTTATTGAAAAAAATTAATGATATAAAATGTTTATAAATGAGATATTGGTAATTTTTACTCAAATAATCTCTAGGCTCAAATAACTTTATTTATAACAATGTTTTCGCTTTCTTGTAATTAATAAAATAAATTTTTATTCCTGCGAGTAAATTAGCAAATCCAGTATTAGAAAATAGAAATGGTATTATTACTTGAATTAGGAAACTTGCTTAACATTTGCTAACGATA